AATACATCATGGGAGGATTCACCAGTTTTGAAGCGTATACGTCAGGATCTATCTGAAAACGAATGACAACTCTCCTGCCAGGTCTATTCGCGTAGTTGCTCTGAATCAATTTACGTTTCTCGGACAACCCAGATTCGTATCACAGACACCAATAACAGGCTTTTGGGAAAGATGATTTGCATCGTTTCCAATTTTTACAATAACTGTCAAATGCGACATACTAGCCATGCTGTCAATTCCACACATATTGCCTCGATTCCTGGCCATTCGAATGTATCCCTGCTCGCCCCAGTACTTACTCAAACGATTTTTCATTACCCAATAGTCAACGCCACTTTCGATTCCATATCTGATGACCAAGGCCGCGTAATTCTGCCGCGTTGAGGAACATTAGTTACTCTACAGGGCCCGCTTCATCATGACTGTGCGCCTGTGCTCATCGAACTGACTTACTGGAACATTGCGAAGTCTCCCTGAATATCCAACCCCGCNCCCCGCCGATGCAGGTGCTAATTCATTAACCATTGGTTTAAGCATTTCCTCGTTCCCTGAATACACGTAAACCAAGTCAATTATATTGACCACACGCTTCACTTGGTCATATATGCATGCGCCTCCCTAAGGAAACAGAAATGGCAGTGCATTTGATAAGAAGTATGCATATGAAAACCTTGGGCTGGATGTGACTTATAAAAATAAGGATAAGGAAAATCACTCTCTAGTTCCAATCCAAAGTCTGACATATTTGTAGGCGTTTTCCATTGCATCACCGTAGCATCCACTGTTGCCGTGTTGTGAGCTGCAGTCGATCAGCTGTTGTTCAGAGAATGTTATTTCCCGATCGTATGTCATTATGTACTGTGTCTCCGCAGAACCGGTGGTGAAGAATGCCCAACATGAGTCACAATCACCCTACCCACAGAGCATTAGATCAAATGCACTCAAACACACTATCACTCATCTGTGATTTCACCTCACACACGTAGCCCATAGTGCGCCAATCAAGGTACTCGAGAGTTACATAGGATTAAAAGATTTACCTACTGAAGTTCAAACTAAGTTTAACGGTATTTCCAATAAGTATTTCTCTTTGAATTCGTCAAACGTCAAATCGGTGAACTGATTCAATCCCAGACTGTAGGTCACCAAGCCCAGATCATGGTGCAAATTGTGTTGTTTGATGTGCTCAGCATTCTCTTCCCAAATGGCTCGTCGAACTGCGTCATCAGGACCGTTGTACTCTTTCTTATACAGACGCTTCCAATGGTGCCACAGTTCATCATTGGAAGCGAGCGCTCCGACAGCCAGTAGTGTAATGATCAGCAATCTCATGATCTGACAGTCTACGTGCACCACCCAAATCCTAGTACTGCTCAGTTGCAGTCTATTTTATTTACATTACTCGATCGTCGTAGAAAATGGAAAATGTTAAAATGTTGACGTTGCAATGAAAACAATGAGCTGTATCCATTTCATTGGACTTTGAGGGTAGTATCAAAATGAATACACTCACACACCCTTAAAAGTTTGCTATTTTCGTCATCGGTCAAAGTTTATTATTTGAATATCAATTACTCCTTCAATAAGCAGCTCAAGTTCACTAAGGACCGACTGAGTTTACCACCCACTTGAGGACACTCAGGGGATATAAACGTTTCATTGAAATAAGGAATCCTGTGATTTTTGGTACTTTGACTTCGCCCTCGGTTCTCTGTGACTGTTTCGACGGATTTTTAATTTTTTTAAAGGCATAAAATCACACTATTGGGGAAATCTGGTAGTTCCAGATACTATCATTATACATTACCAGATGATGCTTTTGATACTATGATAACCAAACAGTGCAAAACGCAGTGAGTTCAGCGAAATTGAGTCACATCTGGTAATGGTTAACCCAATGTGGATTGAGATTAGTGGTTCGAGACATCAGAATTGTATTGTATTGCATTGTGTATAACTNATAACTTTTGCAAGCACTGGAGCTCACACTTCAGTTAAAAAGCATACACGCTAACCGTCACAATGTACATAATCAACGAGGAGAAAAGTTTTCGCAGGCATGGAGACATTCATAATCCAAGGTTAAGACAAAGTTCACTCATTGTTCGCTCTTTGTTTGTGAGTAGACGAGCAAGATACGGTATGGGTGAATTGTGGTATGCATTAATTCGAGATGAAATTTGACGAAATTGGGAGCGTGTTGAATGATGAGAACGACAAAGTGTCAGTTCTGCATGCAGTGGGTAGTCCGAATCTGTGAGGATCCTCTCTGCAAATTTCACACAGGAAGTTACGTGATACTCGGAAAGCTTTACAGCTAATTCATTTACAGGAATGGAAGA